GGGGAAAAGTCAGGTACCCCAGGTTTAAGCCTATAACCTGGGGCTGGAGTTCAGATACCAGATGGTGCAGCAACAGTAACTGCCCCCGGAAGAGTCAGTAAAGGAACAAATGATTACTGACAAATCATTTTGATGCCCTGCCAAAGGTCTGCACTCTAAATGCTTTTATTTCCATTGAGGCACTTTTATGTTTTGATAAAAAAGCAATATAGTATGTCATTGTTTATCGTCTTTAGAACCTCTTGTGTTTTACAGCAACTAATATTTCCCTCCTCATTGTGTTTAATTCAGTAAAGAGCCACATACTTCTTATTGGAACATGCACTTTCCTTGATTAAGCAATGGTGATGAATGGTATAGTGTTTATTTGGCTCCAAGAGAAAAGTACATCTGCAGCAAAGTTTCTGGAGTCCTAATCATAACACCTCGCTTATTCTTGGCATTTCCATAAACAGAAAGTGGTCTGTTGTCTTTTACATCACTCTTACAGTACTAAGTCAGCTTTGACAGTAAAAATACCTCCAAAGTATAATCCTCTGGTTTCTAATTGCGTTCCCACATTTTCGCAACAGCGTGAAAATCCAGCAGCTTTATCTTAATTAACAATGAATGACACACTCCAAGGGCACCAGGAGTTCATGCAGCGGTCACTGTTGCCATTAAAATGTTTGCTCTGTTGATAATTAACAGGGAACAAAATCAACATGTTTTCAAAGGGATTTACTACAACACATGAATTACCTTCCTCATTTTGATCACTTTATAATTAACATCTCCCTAGGGAGTTGAGCCGAAAGGCAAAGCTCTCAATTTACCGGTCAATCTTCGTTCCCTCCCTCACCTATGGTCATGAGCTTTGGGTAATGAGCGAAAGAACGAGATCGCGGATACAAGCGGTCAAAATGAGCTTCCTCCGCAGAGTGGCTGGGCGCTCCCTTAGAGATAGGGTGAGGAGCTCAGTCACACAGGAGGAGCTCGGAGTAGAGCCGCTGCTACTCCACGTCGAGAGGAACCAGTTGAGGTGGCTCGGGCATCTGTTCAGGATGCCTCCTGGACGCCTCCCTGGGGAGGTGTTCCGGGCATGTCCCACCGGGAGGAGGCCCCGGGGAAGACTCAGGACACGCTGGAGGGACTATGTCTCTCAGCTGGCCTGGGAACGCCTTGGGGTCCCCCCGGACGAGCTGGAGGAGGTGTGTGTGGATAGGGAAGTCTGGGCGTCTCTGCTTATAGCTACAGCGACCCGGCAACGGATGAAGCGGAAGAAAATGGATAGAAATGGATATAATTAACATATCCAAGCATTTGATTCCTTCCCCTGATTATCATGACAGGGTCTTTCTCGGGCAAAGATTGGATCAGCCACAACAGTTTTGGAAGGTCCAGAATGATTGGAGCCATTTATAATACTAAAATGCTTGAAACATGAAAGTACTATCAGTCTGAACTGGGACATCGCTGGTACAGTAGTTCTTGTAAATATGTGTTTATTTTGTATCTGGACCTCGAGTATGTAATAAATAAACAGGCTGAATGAACATACTGTTTATCAGAACACTAATATATTACTCTCCTCAATTAAATGCAAATATAGTTTTAATGTGTTTGTGTTAGTAAACAGAAAATGCATGGACTAATTACTCCAGTAAGTTTTTTTTTAGAGGTAGTTACATGACAAGGTAATTATTTTTTTGTGGTTAATTAGTGTGTGCCACAATACATGCTTATTTTACATTTGTTCATAATTGTTTGTTTTGAAAAATCCAATTACATACTAAGACAATAAATCCATATACAGTATGTTGAGCTTGCAACAAAGGAAATAATACATATTTGCAGTGGTGTAATTGGGTTAATGTATAAATGTAAGTGTGTGTGCTGTCATGGGATAAATATGGTCAGTTCAGCTCAGATTAGAGCTCATATGTACAATTTACAGTCAGAGCAGAAATGCCATATTTAGCTCAAGAGGAGTAAGCAGATGTAAAATGTACTCTCATAATCGCCAACCGCTTTTTTACATATTGCATAACCACAGTTGATTGCATGAATGAGCAGCACAGCACAGATTGTTGTCATAAATTACAGTACATATTTATGCTGTAAACACAGGATACAAATATTTTTACTTTGGTTGTTTGTGCATTTGCCCATTCATGGTTAGAGACTTTTAGATTCTTTTCAAATTCCATTCATGGCCTTTCAACACCATGCTGAGTAATGTATGAACACAGTTTTCTGAAGTTATTTTGTCCTTTCAGGTTTACAATCTCTTTTTTATCTATTTTACCATACCAAATCTATTTTAGATTTGAGAAGAACCAAGGAATTCATTAGTTTCAAACAGGTTGCATTTTCAAAACTCATATCACTTTTTGAATGAAAGAAATCTATCTGGTATATAGCAAGACTTGTTATGGTATAGCCCCTTATGAACTTCTTATAGCGCTCCCACCTGTTACTGCTGCTGTGGGCGTGGCTGCTCCTGATGCTGGTTCCTGGTTGGCCTGCACATCTGCACCATGGACCTGCACTCATCACTCATCAATGCAGTAGTTAAGCCTTGACATTTTATTGGTTCTGTGCCAGATCTGCCAGATGCCACTTGCCTCCAGATTTTCATGCCGTTTTCCAGCCACCTCTTACAGATATCACCTGCTCTGTCACTCACCTGACACATGCCAGCTCCAGCTCCAACACCGACCTGCTCCAACTCTACCTGTAATTATATTTTTGTGTGAAATAAACCATGTTAGCCCTTCATTTGTCGAGCTTCTTTTGGGTTTGAGTATACTGTAGTAGACAGTAAAAAATGCTTTTGAATAACTGAAATTCTTCATCTTACTTCAACACATGTCAATTGGGGATTTATGTTAAAAGAAAGAAAATGCGAATTGTGACTGATGTTTATTCACAATGTGTTTATTTCCAATAATCATTTGTTTTGTACTTTTTTAAGTTGAGTGATAATTTGTCATTTTTTAATGTCTATGAAGACCTTGGCCAATATCTGGTGCAGATTTTTTCCCTAAAGACAAAATTGAGAGACATTTCACATCGGAGCTTCACTGTTTATCAAGTTACTCACTGAACGCAAAGTCTTTCAGTGTCATGCAACATTATTAAAAAACACCACAGTTTTCAAAGACTGCCACTGATCATGTCACACAATAAAAATATATCTCCTTTACACACATATATGTTTCTTTCACCCAAATGGAACATAAAGATAATCTGTTTTTAATTTTAACATTTTAACATTTGTAACAGTGACTGACCTCAGCCAGATGCCTTGAGTGTAGTGGTCAATCGAAGTGGGCTGATTACAGAGGCTTAATCCCAGATGATCTGTCCGCTCCAAAAGCCACTGCAGCAGAAGTATGGGCTGGGTGTGTGTATGTGTACTGAAGGAACATACACACACATGAATGAGCTGTCAATCATAAATGAATGAGTGAATGGTTCATTCATTTCAGATCTTCTCACCCCTTGGTTTAATCCTGTTGGATACAGATGTACAACCTCAGCATGAAAAGCATTGTTCATTGTCTGCATGGCGGTGATTTCCTTCATGCTGATTAGTCTCATGTTGTGGAGTATCTGTGCCTGTGTAATTATTGTCTATGATGCAATTTTGGTCATTAGCGGGGGTTTTTGAAATGAGTGATTTGGGTGTCTTTGCTTTCACAGAAAATAAATAAGCTGCTTTGGGAGTGGGATGTAACGTGCACTATTTTGCAGATATGAATAGATATGAATTTTCTCATTTCTGAATCCAATGATGCCGGTTCTATCTCTGTGAGAAACCAGATGCAGTTCAGTGGAGAGAGTTTGGGAAAACATTGCATTGGGGACATGGCATTGCATTAACCCGGGCCTTGACCGTGACACTGAAGCTGCCCACAGCTCCTGCCACTCGCTAAGTGCCACTGGCCTCTGCAACAAGGCAAGTTTGGGTCAAAGATAAACCTTTGCAAAAAAAAACTTACCCCATAAAATCAGAGATGGCATTTGGTTAAAATGTGTTAACAAGAAACAACAATCTCTAGCCCACTAGAGATTAGAGAAATGCCTGTTCAATCTATAGTTCAACTAAAAAGAGGACAAGACAAAATCTCTGATGCTCTAAGAGAATGACATGAGAACAATATGTACAACAAAAGTGCAACATCAGGTCAAATGCAAAGCAGCTTTTAAAATGTCTTAAAAACCAAATTACCAAATAACCACAAATTTTCTCCATAAAATCTGCATTAAAATCTTATTATATAAGAGAACAATTCGCCTAAACCTCCAAAGATTACATCCTCTTTGTTACATAAATCAGTGATACCTGTACATCAGCATGTGAACGACAACTGGAGTTCTTTGCCTCACTACAATGATTCAATTTGGATGACTGTCTCTGTTTCCTCAGGCGAGGGACAGCGAAGGGTCGGAAAACATAAAACTGAATTGCACCAGCTCTTGTTATTGCCTCTGTGCAGTGGCCGGTTTACTGTCAGTTATATAGCCCTTTATGATTGTAGCTGCACAGCGCAACACACTGATATTAATAGATTTGATCAAAAACACCATGAGCCCACATTGTTGCCCATGTGAGGTGCTACATCTGTGGACGAGGTCATAGCTCTGACCTGCTGATGTTTGAGATTATATGAAGCGCAGATCCGGTCTCTAATCTGTACAAATGTAAGCTGGCCAGGATGCAGCTCAAATCCCTCACTGTCCCTCCTTTCACAGATAAAAGATGCAGATTGCTTTGCACTTTCATTTTTGTGACTCAAAGGGACACTTCACATCAGACGTTGCTCCTCAGAATCTTTCAACTGTTTTATTTTGGTTTCAACAAAAGACCAATCAGGTGTTTTTATAGCTGATTTTTTTTAAGGGTGCTCATTTGACATCTTCGCAATGCTTTCAAAATAGATTGGCTTTGTTATTGAGCGTCTAACTAAAGAAAAAGGTGTATTTTCTTAGTCCTGTTTTTGGAGTCTTGAGACATGTTTGCGAGCCGTGGCGGGACAGGTGGAGGTAAAGGGGGAAAGTATTCTGTGGAGGACCTCTATGGAATCAGTAAGAAGCCCAAAGCCTCCTCTTCTTCTGGGAGTATCGTTTCAAAGGCCCGCACCGCAAAGCCGCAGGAGAACAGACATGAGGAGGCCCTGGCGTCTCAGATCCTGGAGGCGGCTCACAGGCTGGTGGAGCGCAGACGCCTGGAGCTGTACCTCCGCGAGTGTGGTCTGTCGCTGGCCGAATGCGAGGCCCAGCGCTCTGCTATGGTCTACAGGTGAGAGATGTATGGGAATGGAGGTAGGACTTCTAACGACAATTTCCCATGGCAACGGCCACTATGTGACTAGTACAGTTTACCTACCATTCCTATTGTTTATTTACACCACTACAACTCAAATTATTACTAAGTCTCTGTTTCCTACTTCCTACTGTCTAAACATTTCAAACATCCGGAACATTCATACAAGCAGTATTACATAACAGCAGTTGTCAACAAGGCTGAGGGGGGGTTGGTGTTGTTGTTTTTAGTCTTCAGTTTTTTTCTTTTTTAAATAGCCGGTTTATACATTTTAGAAAAATTGTTTTTGTTGAATTGTATTCATATCATTCAGGCAAGTTTTATCATAAGTATTTCTCAAACAGCAGAGACCCATTAGAGATACTTGTGATGCGCCAAGCTCAACAGTGAAAATGATAATAGACATTTACGTTCTATTTCATGGTGGTATTTGGGGGGTTTGTCTGTTATTATTATTATAGATCCATGGGTTTGTCTTACACATGTTGAAGAAAATGATAAAAGCTATGGATTTTATTGCTAGAATAGTGGGATGCTTCAAAAACTATGCTCTCACTCTGTGATCAGATGAGGCATCAATAAGTAAGGAGAAGAATGTTTCCAAATGTGTTTCTTTGATTAATGCTTTGGTTATACAGTTGAAGGTTGAAGAAAATAATGTTTTCATACATTTTAAAATACAAATAGTTGTCTCCAGATGGCAGTGTAGCACCATCAGATATGACATACTGTTCCCTTCCCTTATGGCTGGCCACTGTACAACCCCCACCTACTTCATATAGCATTATAGCGTCACCATATATACTGGCTCTACTGACACAGTATTTAGCTTTTGTTCTTTCAGCTAAAACATTTTACCCCTGTGATAGTCTGGGAACCGATGATTCCCAGAACTATTTTGGCTTTGACATTATGACACATGGCATCAGTTCGACTGGAAATGTCTTATATGCATAGTTTGACAAATGTCATTGATTTGTGCCTTAAATGGAAGCTTAAAAGATGTACCACCTTTTTTAAACATATTTTGACAAACTTGAAGAGACGCCACTTTAGAAGAACTAGTTGACGTCAAAGAGAAAACTTCAAAGTTAGGATAAATTTAGCTGTTAGTCCTCTCAAAGCTTTGCACATTTGATGCAGAAGCGCAGCACAAGCAATCATCTTGCTTTCTCCAAGAGCAAAAGCAGCTGTCATCTCCAGGCTCCCAGCTAAAAGGGACAATGTGACAGATGTGTTTGTTCTATGGCTTGGGTCACATTAGCTTAACCCCACTGGACTTTTACATGGCATTTCAGAGAAGACAAGACATATGATAGACATGTCTAGAGCAGTGTAGTGTAGTCTTTGAGTTAGTGCTAAAAATAAAAGATGTAGCCTATCATAATAATAATAATAATAATAATAATAATTATTATTATTATTATTATTATTATCATCATCATTATTATAGTAGTTTTTTGTACCAAACTGATACATGTGTGATGTAATTGTACATCACACATGTACTTCGATGCTTAAAATCAGAGTTGAATTTTCAATTGCAGGACATTGGGCGATCTGACTAATTGGAATCCGTCTCCTGAAGCTTTTGAATTTATTAAAGGTGGACATATGGTTAGTTTGTATTGCACTGTTTCTCAAAGTTTGTACACAAATATAAAGTATTTTTGCTCATGCATTGTGATCCACTCATAATCTTCTTCAAGACAATTTTATATGGGACAAAGTATCTTAAATAAACTGTTATGTAAGTTTTACTCTTTAAGTAGATTTATCTAGGGTTCTTGAATATGTATTGTTTTTTTTAAGATATACTTCTACACTTATTTGAGTCATTCTCTGTATCTGCCAACATGACTTAACATAACATTTTTGCAGCGAGTAGTTAGCAATGGTGTGAGTCAGGGCTGAGTGATGCTCCCCATGGTGACCTCGGGACACTGTGCCATGTGGCTGCTGCTGACTGAGTTTTAACAGGACAGAAGATCATTAAATCCTCTTCTCTGTCCAAACGTCACACTGATGGCATGCGTAGGTCTCTCTGCAGATGGAAACTTTGTCATCCCGTCCTAAATGGGTCCTAAAAAGTGCTGATGGCCTGACACAGTGTGCTGCCTGTGCTTTCTGTTGTAGCAGCAGAATTCTTTCTCTGAAAACAGTTTATAGACAGTAGTGAAAAAACATTGTGTTGTGAGCATCTGCAGGCGGCTTGTTTGGATCTTTCTGTACAGGTGTGAGGGCAAAAGTTTAAACTGATTTGGGCTGAACTTTCATTCATAATGTTCATCTGTATATCAGACATTCAATGCATTACATCATGGATTTAGCAGATTTCTATAAATTAAAGAAACAACATTTAATGTGTTGGAGGTGGCATAGAATGAAAAATGTAAAAACCATTAGCAGTAATAAACATGAAAGAGGAGATTATGAGTTTTATGCAAAACTGTAAAAGATTGTCACCAAATAAACAATATTTCCATGGACACAATAGGAGGGGTACCTGGCGAGGTACAAGCTAGGACACAAAACCCAATCACATGTACATAGTTCTCTGAAAGATAAACTGTGGTTATAGGTAAAACTCTATTATGAAAAAAACCTCTGGGATCATCTTGGCCCGTTATTGTTTGACATGATTCAAACAACCCTGGAGGATCCTTCTCAAGAAACATACATATCGCAATCATTTCTTATTAGAAAAAATAAAAATATTTTCATATTGATCTGAAGATCTTTGCTAGATTAATAGATTAATTAATAATTTTTGACTGGCTTGAGTGGCAGTGTCTGTTCCTTAATCAGATACATTAGCATAGGTTAGCAGAAATCGTACACATAACTCATAGTGACCCATCAGCAATACTTACTGGCAAGAATTGTTCTTCACCCTTCACCAAAGGCTAAAGACAGGGGTGTCCTCTGAGTCCCCTTCTGTTCAAGTTGTCAGTTTCTCTGATGATGTCACTCCATTTGAACTTAAACATTGCATTTCATCAAAGACAGATTGTGGGGGATGTTCCTCTTCTGAATGATTTTATCAACTCAGACTCATCAGGGGTTCTCTCAGCAGGGCTTAACACCCACCAAAAATATGGTGAAAAAATATAAGAGTCTGATGATATTTGCAAGTGCTCTGGTTTGTGGAGATGTTTTATTTTATTTTATTAATGATTATAACTACTAAGGTTTAGTTTGTTTTGGCTAAACTGGCTTTAGGTGGCCACAGGAGACAGGTCGAGTCATGATATTGCCTGAATATGTGATGACATTTATGAGGTCTACATGAATGGCAATGTGATGTTTTCTATGAGACATATATTCCAATACTTTGAGTTGTATTTCTGTGCACAGTGGGTGTGGTAGTAAAGCATGCGCTTTACTACATGAGGTTTAAGTAGAAATTGCTTTCTTTTCAACCAGTATTGAAGCCAGGGGATTAGTGGATTCATCTCACGTAGGCTTTAGTCTCCTATTTGTGTTTGCTAACGCATCCACAATGGTTTTATATGATTAATGCCGCTGGTTTTCTCTCAGAAAACAGTGCTGATAAATAGGATGGAAGCACTCACACCCCAGCACAGGGAGAGAGAGAGGCAGAGACCGCGGGGAGGGAGTGGAAGCCAGCGCGCAGCAAACCCCCACATACGTAGCTCTTGTGTCGTGAATGTATGGACAGGAACATAACATTACAGGTAAGACGAAACAGCTAAAGCGTTGCCATGAAGCCTTGACGCGGGAAAATGCCGATTACCATGATGTGATTACTGCTGCAGATCCCCTTTCGAGCCAGGATGCCGGCGTTTTTTTGTTTCCCCCCACATCACCGTGTGGAGCAGGATTTTTGGGCGAATTTGGAGACACCTGCGCCCTGAGCCCACTGCAGCCGCTATGAGAACGACTCTCGCTGCCTTTGAAGGTAATGAGTGTTTAGTGGTTTCAGCCAGTTTCCCCCTTTCATCTTTCTTGATTGTATTTGACGCTGCGAGAAGGCTGGGCCATGCATTCATTGGCTTTCCCTGAGTGAGTTCTGCCTGACATCAGCTCCATCATAGACTTCTGCTGCTGCTCTGAACTCTCCTGTTCTAGCTGGATGCCAGACAACATGCCTCCCCGTTTGTACTGGAGGTGCGTGGATGTCAGTGGCCGAGGTGGTTGTGTCATTACTGCAGTAGCTTGTAGACTCTGCACTGACACCAGCTGAAGAGAAGACAGGAAGCTGGCATATGCTGGACCAGTCAACATCATTAGAGGAACCACTTGGTCAGATCTCTAAGACTGGGGATCCCATTGCACTATAATGTGAAAAGGGTTGTAGGAGCTTTTCCCTTTCATCACATCCACAATCTGTCAAAGGGACTGCTGAGAGCTTACAAGCCTCCTGATATTTTTTTGAGGGCTGTCCTCATGCATCTTGTGAGTGTCAAAAGTCCCAGCATCCTTGGCCAGCGTTGTACCAGCCGACAGGAGCAGAGGGCAGTGCTGTGAGTGTCATGTCAGAGATAACTGGGCACTTGCCTGCTCTGTTTACAAAACTGCCCGTTGACTTTCAAGACAAAACCTCACTTTGTGTATGTGAATGCTGTTTCAAATAACAAGGGAAAAACTGTTTTGCAAGTCCAAAAAGAACTTTACAGCCATCCAAACGCCTACAGGAAGGAGAACAGGGTCAAGATGCAGGTCTCGTTCGCCTGCACAGAGCACAACCTGAAAAGTCGGAGTGAGGATCGACTATGTGGCCTTCGCACTGCCCCACCACCAGGAGGAAGCAGTGGAGGGGTGGGGGGCAGCAGTGGTGGAGGAGGTGGAGGGTCCGGAGGAGGAGGGCAGGGGAGCAATGGAAACTACATCTCCCAGGGGTCTGTGAAGATCAAAGACTCCCAGGCATCGCGACAGGCACCCCAGGGTCACGCCCACATGAAGGAGGCCATAGGGAGACACACCACTATGAAGTACAGGTGAGTAGGTGAAGT